ATAGACTAGTTGTGCATGACTCCTGAATTACAAAAGGAAGACAGAAGTACTAGAAAACCGTGGTAGAAAAAGACTTATGTAAAAAGAAGAAAAATGGTCGGATGGAGACGATGTGCTCTGCGCGGAGGAACTCTGCGGTAGAAGCCACAGATCCAACACCTTGACCCTCAGGAGCGCTTTCATCAGTCAGGCTCTTCCTCCCGCGCATGCTCAGAGGCGGCCCGCAAATTAGGGCACGGAGATCCAGCAGGGACCTGGCTGGGTTAAGCGGGAATTGCAGGATCTTAAAGGGGAAACAGTCATTTAAAAGAGCAATGCCCATCAGCCCCACCATTCCTGGCCTAACCTTCCACCACAAACCTACTCCACTGTTAGGGCTCTCCATCTCAGTTAATAGCACCTCCATGCCCTCCCAGTCTGTCTGTTGTGGCTAAACATGGAAATTATCACCCGGTTCTCCCCGCTTGCGTTTGTAAAATGCAATCACTATAAATTTTTTTGTTGGTTTACTTTAAGTTTGCCTTCCTTTCTCCGTTTGTGTTGACACCCTGCTGGTTTAAGCTCTCCTCTGGGTTTGCCAGGGCCATTACAGTGTCTCAACCGGTGTCACGTGGCTACCCTCAGCTGACTTAGGTCGCATCACTCCAGCTTAGGACAGTCCTCTGGATCCCGGGGTCACCTGTCGCAAGTGTCCAGCTCCTGAGCACAGCCCAGGAGACCTCATTTCAGACACTCCTCAGGGTGCAAATTCTCTTCTCACATCACCATTGCTTCTGGCCCAAGTGTAAGTGAATAAATACCAAATATATAGAATAATTCTGGATCAACTTCACATGTGTAAATTTATAAGGATTAAATAAAACAGCCCAACTTCTACTTAACAATGTTTTAATTTAATTGTATTTCATATAAAATATTAATTTTAGTAATTGCTTTTTCTCTCAAACACATCATGATGTCAAGGAAAAAAAATTTCCACCGTGAAAAACATGACTCTTTTTCCAAAATGGAATGAGCCCAAGGTGGAAGAGTTTATTCTGTTCCATAAGTGGTGATGGAACTACCAGGAAGGTAAAGAGAGTTCTAGTAGCATTTGAAGGAATGCTTGTGCACAGAGCAAAGAATGTTAGCATGCTGTTCCTACATTATATACAAAGTGAATTAAAATTCCAGAAGGCACTGAGATCACAGGTGATCTTTCCTACTGGACATAATCACTTGTTTCTCTACCACATATCAACAGGCTGGCCTGTAACTTCACATTAGTTGTCTTTTTCTTTTGGTACTGGGATTTGAAATCAGGGCCTACATGTTAAGCCACTCCACCAGCTCCACTTCCCACCCCCCCTTTTTTTTTCTTTTTTGAGACAGGATCTGGGCTGGAGGATCACGATCCTCCTGATCTCTGCCTCTTGAGTAGCTAGGATTACAGGTGTGAGCTACCCCACCAGTGCCCGGCTGGTTGTCTCTTTTTAATACTAACAGGAAAGTCAAAAACAGGTAAAGGATACAGAATTAAGCCTATTGAACAATAAATACTTCATTACTTCATTGAAAAAACAACAGATCATACTCTGGGTTTTTCAATATTTCCAAGTTAAGGATAATTTTTCTTAACAATGAGACCATTGCTTCTCATTTTTCTCTTTTGGCTGTACTGGGGTTTGACTTCAGGGCTTTGTGCTTGCAAGGCAGTCACTCTACCACTTGGACCATACCCCCAGCCCTTTTTGCTCTGGTTATTTTGGAGATAGCAACTTGCTTTTTGCCTAGGCTAGCCTGGAGTGATTCTCTTATTTGGTGCTTCCCAGACACAGGGATGACTGAGGTATGCACCACCATGCCCAGTTATTGGTTGAGTTGGGGTCTTGTGGACTATTTTGCCTGGGGCTGGCCTTGAACTGTGATCTTCTAATCTCAGCTTCCCAAGTAACCTGGGATTACAAGTGTGAGCCACTGGTACCTGGCTTTAATTTTTTTCCAATTGAAAAACTTCCCAGGAATCTTCCGTATCAGTACTTTTGACATGATACTCTCTTCTTGAGACACCTAACAAAATTTTCCAGAACATAACATCTTTATGTCCTTCTAAGTTTCCTTAGACACAGAACTCTTGAAATCTGGTAGAAGTTCTTGGCTAATTTGAAAAAAGAATTGACATATTAAATAAGTACCAGCATTGTGGAACAGTGTGTCATATTAACAGTGTGTGGGTATTAAAAATGTAAGAGTAGCCAGGCATCAGTGGCTCACACCTGTAATCCTAACTACTCAGGAGGTAGAAATCAGGAGGATCCAGGTTCAAAGCCAGCCCAGGGAAATAGTTCACAAGATCCTATCTTGAAAAATATCATCACAAAAAAGGCTGGCAGAGTGGCTCAAAGTGTAGGCCCTGTGTTCAAATCCCAATATGGAAAAAAAAGTGTAACAGTAACTATCAAAATAATGACAATAATATTATTTTTAACAATAACAACAACAATGATAATGCAACCTATAGCTTCCAAAATAGCAAAATAGCTCCCAAAATTTGCTCCTCTGGAAGAGGCAGCAAAAAGGTTGTTTAACTGATCCAACAGATGGCCAGAAAGCTAAAAAGAAAGAAAGTGATAAACCGAAAACACAAAGTGAGGTGACAGAAATATTTCAATCCTATCATTCACAATAAATGTAAATGGACTTACTCACCTATTAAAAACCAGAAACTGTCAAATTGGATAGGAAAAAAGAAGTCCATCTTCCAGAAACATGCCTAGAACAGAACAAAACCAAAAGGATGAAAATAAAAAGATGACGTGCAAAAAGTAATGGAATAAAATTAGTACACAGTAAGATAAAAACGAAGGAGAAAAACATTGAAAGAGAAAAGAGCTGTTTCATCAGGATAAAATGAATGATTTAACTAGTACCTACAGAGATAAAAAGAGAACTTAAAAATGCAAAAGAGACAATTATTTTTGGAAGACCTTGATACCTTTATTAAAAATTGGTATAGTCACAGGAAAATTTAGTAATAATACAAGTTACTTTAATAAAATTAACAAGTTTGATCTAATGGATTAAAGAGAATCTTGAACCCTATCTTATTTTCAATGCATAAGATAGAGTTTTTAAATGATAACTACATATTAGGTCGCAGGAAAGCTTGGATAACTTCCCAGATTTAATATTACTTTTGTCCATTAAACATTTAAATGAATAATTACCAATAAAAATGGTTAAACATGGTAACAATGTTTAACAGAAAACTTAAAAAAATGCACTAAAAGAGTTGATGGATAAAAGAGTAAATTATAATGTCATGAAATCAATTTTAATTTTTTAGAAAAAAGTACTTCAAATCAAAACTTTCGAAGGGCTGGGGTGGGGGTGGCTCAAGTGGTAGACACACTTGCTTACCACGTAGGGCAAAAAAATACCGTAGTACCTAGACAGAAGTGTAGACACTTCCATGTGACAATCCTTTCATTTAATTATCATCCTTGCAGACCTGGGCTTGAACTCAGGGCCATGTACTTGCCAAGCAAGTACTCCACCTCTTGGGCCACAGCTCCAGCTCAGATTATTCTTCAAAGAGAACTGAAGAGTACAAAGACAACCGAAGGCAAATAAACTAAATCTAAAAGTAATTTACTTAGCTAGTTAAAAGAATTACAAAGTAACAAAACTAAGTACAATAAAGAATTCATATAATCCATGAGCTATACATACTAATATCTGCAATATAGTTCTGTGCTTCTTTGTAAAAAGAAATAGAAAAAAAACACACACACAAAAATCTTGTTATTTAAAAAATAATAAAGTAAGCTGTGTTGGTGGCACTGCGTGCAATCCCAGCAGTCAGGTGGCTGAGGCAGGAGAATCACGAGTTCCAGGTCAGCCTGGGCTACAACAGGGACCCCCTGTCTCAATAAACCAACAATAATTATGCAGACAAAACTCCCAAGAACAATGATACAAAAAAAGACAAACAATACTAAAAATGAAAAATGAGACATAAAATACAGCTATAGTGTGATTTTTTAAAACCCTAAAAGAACAAAGTACACACGTTTATTCCAAAAACAACAGGAAAAGTAAATGAAATAAAAACGTTTCTAGATCCCTCCACCCCCCAGCCCTCTCTGAGCAGAAAAAGAAAAAAAAAGCTAACTCCAGATGGTTAACGGAGAGGCCACTGTAATTGTACAGTCCAGCATTCCTTTAATTGCTAAAATAGGGCTGGTGGAGTGGCTCAAGCCGTAATAAGCGCCTGGCATTCAAGGCCTTGAATTCAAACACAAGGCCTCCAAAAAAAACCCTCACAATAATTGCTAAAATAACCAGGCACTGATCAGTAATGGGGAGCTACCAATAAACTACAATAGACACGATTAACGGAGAATTTTCAGAGCATTAACAGGGACGCTGGCCAGACAAGGACACCCGCTGGTCACTATTTCCGTTCAACATACTGGAGTGGTCATGGTTTGGGCAATGGAATACTACGCAGCTGTTAAAAAGACAGTAAACAAACAAACAGCCTTGGGATAGTGGTACGAGGGGACTAAGGCAGGGGACCAGTGTCCCTTGGCCTTGTCACCTCTGCAGCCTGACAGCAACCTCACTTGAGATACCTTGGCAACCATCGTGTCCTGCCCAAAGATTTTTCTTTCGTCTTCTTCTATGTTTCCTTTGTGCCTCTCGCCTCCCTCTGTAAGCAGGCCTCTCTCTGGGTCCTCGGCATGGCTGTCTGCATACTTGTCCCCAGGAGGCCGAGGGCTGGTCAGGGTTCCCAAGATCGCTGGGCGCTCTCCTCCCAAGGCGCTAGAACCCCGCGCGCTCCGCATTCAACTGGTTTGCGCAAGAGGACAGATAATGGCGCGCGGCGGCGGTGGCGGCGGAGCGCCGGGGGACCCGGCCCCTCCCGCGCGGTCTCCATCGCAGGCAGCGCCCCGCGCCGCACCCACTTCCTCCTCCCGCGGCCGGGCTGCGCGCACGGCCATCGCGCTCCCATCCCGGCTCTCTCGGCCGGGAAGCGGGGAGGCCGGGGCTCGGGGCGCGCGTCCCTGCACCGCCATCGCGCCCCGAACCCCCGCCGCCGCCGCCGCCGCCGCCCCCGCACTCCCATTGCGCCCGCGCGCGGCGCGCAGGGCCCGCCATGGACCTGGAGGAAGCGTTCCAGGCCGCGGGGGAGATGGGCATCTACCAGATGTACCTGTGCTTCCTGTTGGCCGTGCTGCTGCAGGTGAGTCCCCGGGTCCCGCCACCTCCTCCCGCCCGGTCCCGCCCGGCTCGATTTCGCGCCCAGGCCTCCGGGCCTTGGCCCGGCCCCGCGCACCCCGCGATGCGGCATCCGCGGTGGCCCGGAGCCCGCAGCGCCCCTCCGGTTCCGTCCCGCCACCCCAGGCCGAGTGGGGAGTGAGGGCGGGGGCTGCGGCTCCCTCCCGAGCGCCTTCATCCGCGGTGCCAACTGTATTACCTGCACAACCGAAAGGGAAATGCCCTAACCTGTGGCGCTGTCACCTTGAAATCTAGGACAGAGACAGCCCTGGTAACCCCCTCAACATAGATGGGATGCGGGGCTGCCGCCTTGAGCTCTGGGTATCCCCTTGCCAGATTTTTTTGGGGGTTGAGGGGGGGTCATCGTACTCCAGGGTCTTCTGTGCACAGGATTTTCGAATTTTGGTTTTCTTTGGTTTAAGTTCTGCTGGGTCGTTCAGCCCTGGGACCAGCCTTGGGCTGGGACTTTTCTAAGCCACGTAGTGCTGTCTACAGTGTGTGGTTACCAGGCGGAATCCCCTCCTCATCGGATAGAATTCTAAGAGCCTGCTTGCACACCCTAACTTTAAAAATGTGAGTTCCAGCTCGTGTGGGGGTGCATGCCTGAAATCCCAGCACCTGGCGGAGACTGAGGCAGGAGATTGTGAGTTCCAGGCTACATAGCAACATCCTGTCTCAAAAAAAAAACAAACAAAAAAACCCAAGACCTGTGCATGTAGTTCAGTGGAAGAGCACTTGCTCAAAGCCCTGGATTTGCTCCCCAGCACCACCACCACCAACGAAAAGGAGTTCCATATGCTAAAAGTCACTACAGCTTAACTTCGTCAGGTACAACTAAAAAGACCCATTTGACATGAGGCCGCTGTCGCTGTCCTCATCATGACGGGCTGGGGGGGGGGTCGGGGGGAGGAGCTAACGGTTAAGCCGATAGTTAGTTAGCAGTTGCGATGATTATTGCACAAGAAATGCGGGGTGGTCACGAGTGCAAACACCGCCAAACTTTGCGTAAGGCTCCACAGGAAGATAGGGAGATACAGGCTGATGTACTGATTCTCTTTCCATTAAAATGCTCAAAAGTTCCGTTGATTTTATCACCAGCCAGAAAAACAGTTCTAATGGTGGACTGCTGTATGCAGACAGTTCTTTCTCTTAGCAGCACAACTTTCAGATCACAAATATGCAATGTTCTGCAGTTTTTTGAAGTTTGTTCTTTTAGGATGAAATGCACTTTCCCGTGAAAGCCTAGGAGTATTTAGGACAGAAAATAGAATTGTAGCATGATATGTGGCCTTCATCGATGATGGTTTCTTTGAGAATGTTCTTATTCTAACCAAGAATCCCAGGAATAGACTTCCTCTCTGAGCAGTCCCTCCTGTCACTTCCCTCTTCCTGCCCTCCACCCACTTCCTGTGTTATCATCCTCTTCCCTGCCTAGCCAGGTGTCCACTGACTCAGAGTAAATTTTTCTTGAATGTAGTATGGTATTGAAAAGACGAATGTTCTGAGCCAGGACTTGCTAACATTTCCCTTACTTTTATTTATGGTTGACCCAGTTTTTTAGACTTTCCTACCAGAGACTTCCAAGCCCTTGAACACGATTGTTCACTAAACCTTGGCTGATGTACAGTCAATATTTGCCAATCCAGGACCAGGTCTTGAATGGCTGTTGATCTTGTGGGTGGGGGCTGGGGAGACACCCTAAAGCTACCCCTATACCGGCAGAAGGCTCCAGGGAGGAAAGAATTAATTTGTCATGGCCACCACTTGTTCATGTGCACTCAGTCTCCTCCCTGAGATGTAGGATCCAAGTAGTTGTAGGGCCACCCAAAACTGCCTAACCAGGAGGGTCAAGATCCCCAAAGGTCACTCTACTGAGCCTGTGGCTTAGAGGTGTTTTGGGCTAGCTTGGCTCGCTGATGAAGTGCAAGTGTTTGGGAGACCCATTATATACTTGTACCATGGATGATTTTGCCTCCCCAAACAAAGGAAAAGTAAGAAGTCCTTTACACAGAGCTGGCTTAAATGAAAAGAGATTGATGTGTATCTGCTTTTAACATAATAGGACCTCTCTAACCAGTGCCCAAGGAGCGGGGGAGGCATTGCTGTCATCTTTACTGTGGTTTGGTAATGGTTGTCCCCAGCCCAGAGGCACAGAACTCAAGGGAGAAGAGATGGAGCCTTTACAGACGCTTTTACGTTTTCCTTCTCTAGGACTATTGCTATTTTAAAAATGGGTTTCACTTCTTTTACTTCAAGTACATCCAAGTTCAAACTCAGTGGACAAAGCCACCTCTAAAGGTCTTTGGGAAACTGCTTTCTAGAATTATTGATGCCCTCAATCTTCCGAAATTCTTTTAAGTTTGTTCTTTCAAGTTGAAATGCACTTTCGGCATAGGAGTATCTAAGACAGAAAACAGAATTGTAGCATGATATGTGGCCTTCATCGATGATGGTTTCTTTGAGAATGTTCTTATTCTAAGCAAGAATCCCAGGAATAGACTTCCTCTCTGAGCAGTCCCTCCTGTCACTTCCCTCTTCCTGCCCTCTACTCTTTTTCCTGTGTTGGTTACCTCACTACCCAGTTTCTTTTGCCTGGAGACTGGTCTTCTACATCTTGCAAACAATCTAGAAACTATAGTGGTCATCTTTCAGATGTGGAAAGAAGAGATGAGGGTTTTGTCACTGTCTTTCTAGTATAAAATGCAAATGCCCTGATGAAATGTGTAGTCTTAACCTTCATAAAGAGAAAGGATTGCAGTAGACACTTCTCTCTCTCCCCTCCCCCCTCTGTCTCTCTCGCTATTGCTCTCTCTCCCTTTCTCTCTCTTTGATGGTAACAGGGTTTGAACTTGGGGCTTCACACTTGCTAGGCAGGCACTCTACTGCTTTAGCCACACCTCAGGTCCTTTTTGTTCTGGTTATTTTGGAGATAGGGTCTTGTTTTGCCCAGACCAGCCTGGACAGCAATCTTCCTATTTTATGTCACTAGGTTGACAGGCACACACCACCATATCCAGCTTTTTTTTTTTTCCTCCATTGAGATGGGGGTCTTGCAAACTTTTTTTTCCCCCAGGCTGGCCTGGAAGCTCAATCTTCCTGATCTCAGCCTCCTGAGTACCTTGGGATGACAGGCACACACCACCAGGCCCAGGTAGTGGTTGACATGGAGCTCCAGAACTTTTTCCCAGGCTGGCCTCAAACTGCAGTCCTCTAGATCTCAGCTTCCCAAGTAGCTAGGATACAGGTGTGTGCCACCCGTGCCCAGACAGTCAAAAAAATTCTTAACTTCAAAATGCACTTGTCTTCCCTAAGTGAGAGTTATTTGTGCTGTTTAAATATGAATTCTACTTAGTTTATTAGTGTTTCTTACTGTTTTGTATTTGTGTGTGTGTGTGTGTGTGCTTGTTACCAGGTGTCTGGAAAAGGCAGGTTAGAATACAATTCATCTTTCTTGCTTCTCTTAGACATAAAACAAAAATGACCCTGCTTCATTGTTCTAAGTCAGGGGCACCAGCCCTCAAGAGCTGGAGTTTTCCTCAGGATCATGAATCATAGGTTGTAGTATAATTTGCAGAGAATTCAAGTCATCCCTTAGTCAATAGGAACATGTAACCTGTGACAAGCATTAGCTTCCCCTGCTGATGCTGTGCTGTGAACCCCATCTTGAGCCTAGTATCCAGGAATGCATTATTTTTATGGAAAACCCTAAATAACCCAACTTTACTTTTCAAATCCTAGAACTACCAAGGCGTTAATATGATGCTTGCAGTAAATATCTTTTCTTGACATTTTAGAAAGTGCAGTGAGTGAACAGGTACTCTGCGGAAGACGAATAGACCATAGTCAACACATGAAAAGATGTTTGCCTTCATTGGTCATCAGGGGCAGCCATATTAAAATGACGACGAAATATCATTTCACACTTATTATAGTAGCAAACATTGAAGTCTAACAGTACAAGTGTGATTAAAATGAGGAAAAATAAAACTTGGTAGCAGTTAGCAAAATTAAAACCAGGCATTGAACTCCTAGACACAAACTCTCTGGTCCATTGTGAACATGTGTATAGGGAGGTATTTATTACAGTTGTGTCTATAATAACAAAAATTAGAAAGCACCTAAATGACTTTCAGGAAGAGATTGGATGAAGTGTAGCTGAAGGATGACAGAGTGAATACATCACCTAAAATGAACAGATGAGACCTGCATACAGCTGAGTGGATGAACTCTAAAACACAAATGCTAAGTGAAAGAAAATACGCAAAGTGATAAATACAATATAAATTTTAATATAATCAAAGTATCATTCTTAACACAAGAATTTAAAATATACTACTATATTTAGTTTATGAATGCATATACATAATTTAGAAGCATGAATGCGTGCAGTAGAAGTCCACTCAGTTCATGTGACTGGTTGTCTTCTGTGGGGTGTCTATTACAGTCTGGCCTGTAATATTTTATTTTAAAATCTGAAGCAAACATAAATTTTTATCATTTGTTCCTTATGATAGTGGGTTCACGAGTCTTATTCATTTTGCTTTTCCAAGTAATAACACAGTAATGAAAACAAGGTACTTATATTTGGGAGCGAATGCTACAATTTGGTTTATGAAAATAATGGCTCATTATTTTCAGTTGATAGTCCTTTAATTCATCACAGCCATGAGTTGTGGTCATTTAACACAGGTGGGTCAGGTAGAGTGAGTTTTGTGCAGTGTCCTTAATAAAGGTTGCGTAGAACCGCTGTCACCATGCCATATCTGTCACCATGTCCTTCCCTCCACAGAAGATTCACAGGAAGTCACCTCCTGGGGCTGAGATGATAACTGGTTCTTCTAAACCCCTTGCCATAAGTAAGTGAGGAGAATCACACTGTACACCTTGGTGATGACCTTATTGTATTACAGTCATTAAGACCAGCCCTCAGCACCACCACGGACTCAGCCATTGCAAGAACCTGTG